GAATAAATACAATCCAAAAGCTCACTTAAAAGTTTGCTTTACTGTATACCCCAACACTTACACTGTCAGATTAGCAGTTCAGGTGGGGACTCAGACTAAGTATTACATTGATTATAATTACAGTTATCATGTTCAAGGTATGTATATTCAGTTCCTGCTCAGTGAGGCTAGACAAAGTAAGACCATCTGAGTTCTTGTGGCGTAATCTGCCCACTAGAGTGTGCACATAGACGCGGCGCAGTATATTATAGCCGCCAGATACAACATTCGATCCCGTAGCAGATACTGTTGATCGCAGTTACAGTACATGATATGACAGTTTCAGTTATATATACTATTGGTCATGATATTGCAATTATTATTGTTGTTTTACTTCAGTATGAGTTTATGCGGAGCGCAGTGGCTTTTAGTGCTCACGCCCCCACTATATTATATTTTTCATGTTGCAGGGTCGGTCTGGAGGAGTGAGTGGAGCTGGTGGTCGTGGGTTTGTTTATATGCCTGTTTATAGACTTTTGGACATGTATATATATATATATATATATATATATATATATATATTGCCACGTTTTGAACTTCCGCTGACACTTTCATGTTTAAAAACTCGCATGTAAATATTCAGGTTTCGTCAAACAGATTTTATACAGTTTTACATGCTTGTTTAACTAAGATAATCCGTTTTCTCTTAATAATTTTAATTTGGAAAAGATGACGAATTGTAGAAAAGAAATGTTTCTTAGTAGCACCTCGAATCATGATTTCGCTAGTTAATATGTAATTTTTAGAAACAAAATTTGACTCTGATTTTAATAAGCTAGCGGGGTGTTACAAATGGTATCAGAGCTCGTTTTTGTGTATCTGAATACATTATTAAGTCAAAAAATTTTCAGAAAAAAAACCGACCATGCTACGCTTACACCTCGCCGACGACCAGGTAAGTGCTGAGTTACAGTTTATATATACCTAAACGAATGCTTAAGTCTATGCTCAGTAGAGGGTATCAGATCTTTAACCCTAGAAACCAGTAAGATGCTTGAGTTAGTATTTTCAGAACATAGTCGATTGTCCCAGTGATTTGATAATTCGACCCTAGTTTTCTCGGGTTAATTTTAACAACTCGTCAAGAGATCTGTGCTCATTAATAATCAAGTTAAAGTATTTTGCCTTGTCATAATTTTGCATCTGATTATGTTAATCTTTTCAATACTCAGATGCCGTCTCGTAGAGAACCAGATCATCAGGAGATTCCCCAGGCCACAGTAGATGCACAGTTTCGCGACTATCACCCAGAAAAGTTCTCTGGCGAAGGAGATCCTCGTATCGTGGACGAATGGGTCCAAGGCCTTGAAATGATTTTCGAGGTCATGGATTGTCCATACCGCTATCGTGTTTTATGTGCACAACTTCAGTTGACCGGTGATGCCCGACTCTGGTGGAATGCTTACTGGAGTATGCGTCCCGACGAAAAGGACGGTTGTACCTGGGATGGGTGCAAGGAGTTGATTTGTGAGAAGTACTATCCCACGTATTACCGAGCAGAGATGGAGCGTCAGTTCTTGGCGCTCAGACAGGGAACTCGTTCTGTTGACGAGTACGCGAGAGAGTTTACCCGACTCGGGGCCTTTGTTCCCTATTTAGTGAATACAGAAGCGAAGAGAGCTCATCGTTTTATTGACAGACTTCTCCCAGCAGTCCGTCACAATATCGTAGGCCATGGCGTCCAGACCTACGCCCGCACAGTCGCCATTGCTCAAGAAGTGGATGCCAGTATCCGACGAGAAGCTATTACGATTCCAACCAAGTCAGTTGCCCAACCGCCTATCCAGCCTGTAGCCGCCCAATAGCCAAAGAAGTAGAACAAGAGGAAGTGGAGAGGACCCTAAGATGATCGCAAGAACCGCCCCAGACAACAACAGACCCCATCTTGTGTTACATGTGGATGACGCCACCGCGGAGAATGCCTTGTGGGCCAGAACATTTGTTTCTTTTGTCACCAGCCCGACCATATCAGCCCAACTGCCCAGAACGACTACAACAAGAACCGAAACAACAACAACCACCTCAGCAACCTCAACAACAGCAGCAACCCAGGCAACAGCCACCACGACCTCAGCAATAGCCTCGCGGCAGACAACAGGCCCGTGTCTTTGCAGTTGACCAGAGGGAAGCCGACCAACACCCAGGTACCATGTCTGGGATGATTGTTCTTAATGATGTGCCTGTTTATGCCTTATTTGACACCGGAGCGACCCATTCTTTTATATCATATCGATGTCTCGAAGCTATAGGAGTTTATTCACTTACCACTGTCGATTCTCTCAAGGTGAGTTTAGCCTCGGGATGAAAGATAGTGACTGATGTTAGAGCCACCGATCTCAGCCTTTCCACCGGCGGCCGTATTTTGACTACTGATGCTTATGTTATCGAGATGAGGGATTTTGACCTCATACTCGGTATGGATTGGCTATCACGTTTTCATGCAGATATTCGATGTCATGACCGGGAGATTACTCTTTATCTTCCGGGAGATGATCAAATCACTTATTTCAGCTCCAGGACTCGTACTCTGCCCCATATTATTTCTATGGCGAAAGCCAGGAGGATTCTTCGACGGGGTGATTGCCAGGGTTACCTTGTGAGCCTTGTTGGAGATGAGCCAAAAGCACGGTCAGACATTCCTATTTTTCGTGAGTTTGTGGACGTGTTCCCAGATCAGCTTCCCGGCGGTCCACCCAGCCGACAGGTGGAATTTTCTATCGATCTTATCCCTGGAGCCGGACCCGTTTCTAAGGCGCCATACAGAATGGTACCTAAAGAATTGCAGGAATTAAAGACCCAAATTCAAGAGTTGTTGAATCTCGGTTTTATCCGACCGAGCGTCTCACCATGGGGAGCACCCGTTCTCTTTGTCAAGAAGAAGGACGGATCCATGCGTATGTGTATCGACTACCGGGATCTTAACCGGTTGACGATCAAGAATAAATATCCTCTTCCCAGGATTGATGATTTATTTGATCAGTTGAGGGGTGCCTGCGTGTTTTCCAAGATTGATTTGCGTTCAGGCTACCATCAGCTGAAAATCAAGGAGTCAGACATACCTAAGACAGCGTTTCATACAAGATACGGTCACTTCGAGTTCGTGGTTATGCCGTTTGGCCTCAGCAATGCCCCGGCAGTATTGATGGACTTGATGAACCGTGTGTTTCATCCTTTTCTTGATCAGTTCGTTATTATATTCATTGATGATATTCTTATCTATTCCAAGAACCAAAAGGAGCATGAAGAGCATCTGAGGGCCGTTCTTGAGACCCTTAGACGTGAAAAGTTATATGCAAAGTTCTCTAAATGTGAATTTTGGCTTTA